GTGTGTGTGTGTGTGTGTGTGTGTGTGTGTGTGTGTGTGTGTGTGTGGTGTGTGTGGGTGAGTGTGTGTTTGTGTGTATGTGTGCGTGAGAGAATGAATGTGTGTTAGGAGCCGGTTGCGAGAAGATTTTCTGTGTCGTCGTAGTTCTGATTTAAAAGCCAATTTACCAATCTTTTTTTAACCTCAAATTTGTTTAAACTGTGGATGTTCAAAAGATTATTTACACAGTTGTAATGGATGGAACTAGATATATGATATTGTCGAGTTGAAAACTTAGTTTTATGCCGAGGAACAGGGCAGACCTTGCGAGTTTTCCTTTTCGAAGGGTCCGGCAAGGGTACCAGGAGGTGCTTACGTAGGATTGTGCGGAGCACAAAGAGCTGCCTGACAGTCAGAACTCTAGATAGCGAATATAATTCATTTGTAGGAAATCTGAGATGCTTGGAATACATAACTTTGAGAACAGCTCTCTGTGCTCTCTCAACTTTGATAAAGGTAGTTTTTGCAGCAAAGCCCCAGGCCGGCACACAATAGGTAAGGATTGATTCGCAAAGAGCAGAGTATACCATATTTAATGTACTTGTATCAGCGGACTGTCTAAGTGTTTTAAATATGTGTATAAGGCGCCTAACTCTCATGGAAAGCTTGTCGATTTGAAGAGACCAATTTAAATTTTTATCAATGTGGACACCAAGATATTTTACATTAGGGGTTTGGGATATAGGGGTGCAGTTACAGTAGTTGTTAAGGTTGCAGTTTGAGTGAACATACAAGTTATAATTTGGCAGAGGTTGAGTGTTATTTCGTATAGAGAAGGGGATAAAATTTGTTTTGGAAAGGTTTAAAGTCAGTAGATTTTGTGTCAGCCATTGATTGATAATGATCAGGTTATTCTCTGCTATTGACTTTATGTCTGTCCAATTCGAGCCGTGGATAATTACAGCAGTGTCGTCGGCATAGGTAAAAATTTTACAATCAGGAAGACTTATATCACATAACTGGTTGATGTAGACCAAGAAAAGTGTTGGTCCAATTATAGAACCCTGCGGGACACCGTATTCTATGCGAGCTTCATCGCTCTTGAGTCCATTTATCATTATACTTTGACAACGGTCAGTGAGATAGTCTCTAAATATGTCATGGGCGACTCCTCTGACTCCAACGTTATATAGTTTAGAAAGAAGAGCAGGAATGTAGACTGTATCAAATGCCTTTTGAAGGTCAAGAAAAATTCCTACACATTTTTGGCCCTGATGAGATCGTATTCCAGAACTCTACTCAATGCTCAAGTCAGGACTTGAGTATTGCAGTGAGCACTGAAAATCATACTCAAGTCCTTGCCATTAGAGTCGTATTTCCAGTGCTTGAAATCATACTCAAGTCTGCTCAAATCCTGACTTGAGCATTGAGTACAGTTCTGGAATACGACTCTGAGAGTGGGTGCGGGTCGGGTTCGAGTCGGGTCAGGAGCGCGGCGGGTCTTAATTCAGTGTATTTATTATCCGCCCGCGCTCGGTGTGTTGCCGTCCATATAAGGGTAAATATAGAGAATTAGACCCGCCGCGTTCCCGACCCGATACGCGCGCGATCCGTACCCGCTTTCTGTGTGTCTCACGCTCAAGGGTAAAATTACAGCTAGGTGCATGAGCCTTGACTTATATGTCAGGATGACTGTAACAGTGCCATGATGCCATCTTTTTACGACAGGGTATCATAAAAAAAGAGACCTTCAATATTAATTTTTAAGTTTGTTGAATGCCACGATGTTTGACCACCATGATATTAAATTATTTTTGTGAAATTACTCCATTAGTTTGTTATAATTATATTAATACAAAGATCGAATACTTAGAAAATAATCGTTTTCCAGCATACGCAATGCCAACTAAGCCACGGAACGAACTAGCGGACCGTAGCGCCATCTTGTGGTGAGAAATTTAGGTATTTCTTCTCTCGGTACCTTAATTAGGAGATACGTCATAGCAATTGTAAGTATACTTAATAGGCAGATGACGACGATATTATATTATTTCAAGAACTCAACTTTGTTGCATTTTTTATGCAATTACAATTAATTGCAACTCACAATGCGTAATCAGCTTGATGTGCAAGTGTATTAATTAGGTACCTACCTAGATTTCAACTAAGAAATCCTGTATAGGTAACTATGAGAAGATTACTCTAGCATACACATAGTATAATGAGATAGACAGAGCAACCCGCCTGTCCGGTGCATCAATGCCTACACTTCGCTAGGAGCGTAGGGTTGTCACATTATTTTAGTTGTACCCATAAATTGTAAACATAATTTAAAAAAATGAAGGTGTTCATCACACTATTCCCATGCTATATTGAAATGATTTTCATTAAGTACAGTACATGTGTATTGACATTTTTATACCAGTTTGAGTCACTCTTGTCCAAACAAGCATGAACACAACTACAAACACGTGTACTATTTGATGTCACTTTTTAAACACAAAGCGAACGCATTCATTCTTTTTTATGATTTGCATTAATTCTTTATTAAATGACGCGCGCGACGACACGCGTTATGTAATGCGAGTGCACTGTGAGATTATGTGAATGTGTGCGTTCGTACAGTGCGCGCAGCGGGCGTTCACACATACAAGCTGCGCTACTACGTTTGTATGGAGTTACCCGCCATATCTTATTATAAGTACTATGTACTAGAGAGATTAAACCTGATGACACTTTCTATAACTCCATATTCCAACTGTTTAACTAGTTCAAGTACCGTCGGATAGGCGAATCCTCTGGCCACACAGACAACAACTCTTGAGTGTATGTTTATAAATTTTCAATATGAATTCGCCCGAAATTTCTTTTGCATTGCTTCCGTAGCGCTAATAAAAGCAAAAAAAAATGTTCTTTATCCGACAGCGATGTGGTGTCTTCTTTAAAATCTGTGTAGAAAATGAAACGTGGCTACTTTTGGTGTCACACTGGCCGTCTTCGCTCCGTTATTCCGCCGCGAACTAGACTTTGAACTGCTTTGTGGCACACCTCCGCGGACCGCTTTTCCCGCTGTACCGCCTCTGTATGGCCTGAGCTTCATGGATGCCGTGTTCAAACAATCGCATCAAAAATACCTACTACCTGTCAAACGTATATGCTATAAGAGCGTGTCCACACCAAATTTTGAAATCGTCCGTCAATTGTAAACAACCGTTATTTAACCTTGTGTACATACTCAATGTACAAGGTAAATACAACACATCATTTCACATATTATGTTGAAACCGCTCACCTGTCAGTCGTTAACGTCGTTTATTATACTGTACCTACTTTGTACCTTGATGAGCCAGAGCGTGAATTGATTGTCGGCTTTCAAGTACCGTCTATCTATAAGATCTGGTTATGTTTCTTACCCAGTAATGCGATAGGATGTTAACTTTGTAAGTAGTCTCGATTGCGTTGTCTGTGAGGTCCAGTAAGGTCTCCCCGAAGACTGTGCCAGCATTGTTGATAAGCACGTCAACTTTGCCCACCTGCAATTACAATAAAAAACTTTCGTGCCTGCCTGATGGGGAAACTTTAAACACGAGCTCTATGTGTAAATCGTGATCTAGTCACCGATTCATTTCAGTTTTACATATTTATAACCTATTTTAAGAAACAATCAAGAAAATCTACAAAACATCTCATTGTTAGGACCAAGAAAATCAATCATACATACATATTGGAATTAGGTGAATGAACTGAATACGCACGGTTGAGATTCGTTACAGTGCGAGATATTATATTACTGTTCTAGATATTACCTCTTGCGTATATTTCATAAGACAATCTTATTCACAGTTCGCAGATTACTTGGTAGTTACTACACCAAATACACAAACGCGACTGCACCTGGGGGTCTACTCTCGATCTCCGTCTGACATCCGTCCGAAACAATTACTGCCAAATAAGCAATACTTGACCAAATGAAAGGACGCGTGATGCGAATGAAGCTTCATACTGGATACTTGTCTTTTAATTTTGTCGAATATTACTTATTTCACAGTAATTGTTTCGGACGGATGTCGGACGGAGATCGAGAGTAGCCCCCCTGATACTTATTCGTCCGGAATCCGAGACCATACATATCTAGAAACTCGGACCCTACTTCGGATGTCACTTATGCGCTAAGTTTGATTCGAACCACAGAAAATACGAATATCGTTTGTACACCTAGAGATAAAATGACACTTCGGACACCTGTGTCATTTCGGACCGTCATTTCTCGGAATCGGTGTCCTGATTTTGATTCAAATCTGAATTGATCCGACCGGGTAGTCTCGAAATCAGATGGGTTTCTGAGCGAGAAGATGAACCTGATTCCTACTATATCTTTCTAATTTGTGAGTTAAATCAACTATTGTTCCGATTAGAAATGTCAAAAGTTTCCGATCGGCCAGTTGTGAATCGCAATTATGCGCCTCGACTCGGAAAAAACGCAGTTTCCAGGAACAAAATCATGTTGCTGAACTGGGCTATTCTCAATCTCCGTCGGATATCCGTCCGATACAATTACTGTCAAATAAGTAATATTCGACAAAATTAAAAGACAAGTATCCAGTATGAAGCTTCATTCGCATCACGCGTCTTTTCATTTGGTCAAGTATTGCTTATTTGGCAGTAATTGTTTCGGACGGATGTCGGACGGAGATCGAGAGTAGACCCCCAGATACGACTCGGACGTAGTGCGCAAATGCTCTGAGTAGAGGTTTATTTTATTTGGAATTTAGTATCTAGCAGTAGAAAACCTCGTGTAAGAATTTATCCTAGGAAATACTATTACAAAACTTATTTCTGCCCCCAAGAAGTAATATATATTTCTATTTTTCGGTTTTGAAGGGTAAAGTTGCTGGTGACTTGTCAACTTTATATCTCAGGACCACGGATGTGGCGACAGTACTCCTTAGATCTTTGTGATTAATAACAGTACAGTACTGTAAGCTGGGGTTTGGACTTAAAGTAAATGGAATGGTTATGTACCTCTTTTTTAACCTTGTCGGCAGCTGCATAAGTGGCATTGCGATCACCTAAGTCCACGACGTAGCTAGCGATGTCGTATCCTTCTTGTTTAGCAGCTTCACATGTTTTTTGTAATCCTGTTAAACAAAACGAAGATTTTTTTAACACTGAGATAATGAAAAATTGTGCCCCTATAATGAAGGTGTAAGAGCTATGAAACTTTGTTTATAATTCTTAGTAATTTAAATTTGTTAGTCATTCAAATGCGCAGCAACATATGGGAATTGCTATACAGGATCTAATTGCTGATGTAAATCTCGCATATTAGTTTTTTCAAATACTTGTTTCGGGCTTTTTATATGTCTCATGGTCAAGGCTCACTGTTTTAGATTATACATCATGACTTGGATCTGACAAAAATAGTTTCATTTCCAATGCATAGCAGGCGTTTATATTTTTGACCTACCGCAAGTTAGAAACATGATTTACAGAATTTTGTTTCTCTTAAAACTTTCGGTTTTTATTGAACAGATTTTATTTCATTTTTTCAAAAGAACGTTACTATTTTCTCATTACACCACTAAATGTTTCATTATATTTTACATTATATATTACGTTAATAAGTTATTCGTTTCCCGATTCAAAGGCAAAGTTAAATAATCTTCTTTTTATCGATAAGCAAATTACACTTGAAAACGTCATACTGATTATGCTCTACTGCTCACTTTCAGATTCCCCTGAGAATAATGAGCAAGAAACCTAGGGCAAAGTTTCATAACCTTTTTCTATTCATGGACCCCTCTCAAAATGTCAATAGACCCTACGGACCCTTTTCGGAAAGATAAAAAACTAGGTTTAGCTTTTACTAGCTTATATTGTTTGCGATTAAACTTTGAATAGTTAGTGTGACGGTCGCTGTTCCATTACGTTAGGTAGACTCGCAACGGACCCCTGGCGGTCATAACACGGACCCCTTAGGGTTCCATGGGCCACAGGTTAAGAAACACTGCTCTAGGGGTTGCTCTTCGTAAATATACATTTGAATATATTTATCATTACAATATTTAATTTAAACATCTTAGATCGAGACTACCTGCAAGAGCTAAATAGGTCATTACTACGGCTGTTTGTCATCCAACTACGTAGAAACGCAGAAACTATATAATAATCTTTAGTATAAAGTTTTTCTTTTACTATAGTTTTAAGCCGTAAATGGCAAATTTTGAATATCAATCGGAATCTTATTATAGAAGCGTATACATTGTCTCCTAAATGAATTTGAGACTTTATGAAGACGGCTGTCAAGAATGGCTAATTTATTTTTCTGTCACAATTTTTCATTAAAAAAAAAATAAAACTTTTCTTAACATTAATAACGTTTTCATAAACTACTGATATTTTAATATCTTTAAACTTATCTCTCAAAGACACTCTTACAAAGATCTCATTTTTAGACATTCCGCTCGGATAAGGTACTAAATTGAATATTTTGTTTTTGCACAAAAAACCCCAGATCTGACCCCGCCCTGGGATTGTATGTACTTTTGGATTAATTTACAGACTCATTATAGATGTCTATAATACAATTTTATCGAAGAATATAAGGAAAACAGATAGTAGGATAAATACGAATTGATCAAACATCCTTTTGCTTAACTCATTTTTGATAACAGCTTTAGTTGCCGGTTATTAAAGGTATCAAAATATAATGCTCTCAAAGACAGAGTCTAATACTCATTCATGCCATAAGTAAAATTTTTACACTTGAAAACGTCATTTTTTAAGCTACTGTTTGTTCACTGTGCCGACTTCTCTGAGAAGAACCAGCAAGAAACTCTACGGATTGCTCTTTTCAAATAAACAAGCTGAACCAAAACTATGGAATACATTTTGAATCATATCTGTGTGGAATCCTAGACTCATGTTGTCTACCTTTACATCTTTATCTAACACGTAGTCTACAATTTTGTAATATGACTTTTCGATTAAAATACTTTTAAAATAACTTTTAAACTTAGGGAAAGGTAATCTTAACATGCTCCGGAATCTTATTGTAAAAACGTATAGTTCCCCATAAAAGAATCGTTTACCTTAGTTAAACGAAATCGTGGTGCCATGAGTTTGGACTTACTTTTAAGGTTAATATTATGGATATTATTATGGATATGGATATTCTTTCTTAACGAAATTATGTATATTTTTAAGGGTATACAAAATATTTGACTAAATGTACTGTGATGCCACAGTCATGATACCAGTCTCCTTAAACTTTTCTCTGAGAGAAATTCGAGAACCTAAACGGTACACGAATCGCTCGTTTTTGCAACACAAATATGGTTTGTATATCTGCCGCTTTACCCCACTTGAGAATCCTGTAGGACATTATACTATGGATGTAACTAAAGTAAACTAGTCTAGCAGTAGCAACATCGGTAAGCTCACGTATTCTACGGCCTTTGTATGCAGCAGAGTTTCATCTGCTGGCCAAGAAAGGTATATGTGGAAACCATTGAAGTTTACCATCTAAGGTCACTTCCAAAAAGACGGCTTTATTAACAAGGTCTTTAGCAATAAATTGTTTACATTAAACCAATAAACTACCTTTGAAAGGGTATCGTTAATATTGTCATACATAGTTAACGTCATGTCCGTCTGTTTTAAAAATCAAGGATGTGTCAGCAAAATATACTATTTCACAAAGGTCCTTAACAAAGACTGGTAGATATTAATATACATGAGAAATAAGAAAGGTCCAAGTATTGAGGCCTGCGGAACACCCATTTTTACCGGAGAACCCAAAGAGGTCACTCCATTTATGTCTACTTTCTGAATTCTACCGTTAAGATATGACAAGACAACTTCCAACGCCTTGCCAATTCCAACGCTTTTTCTTTACAGCTGCGTTGTGTACCAGCAGACAAGACATTTGAAATTAGCATTATACTACGTATGCATGGCGGTGCCATGTACAAAACTTTTAAAACGTGACTTCGCATGACCCAAGTGGCTTATGCCACTTTGTGGTTATGGTAGTTACGATGATTAAGAAATATCCGCTGCCGATTACAAAAGAACGGTAATTGTTATCGCATTGTTGATTCTTACATGCGACTGTTGTACTACAGAAAGAATTCTTTTTTTATTTTATAGATAGTTGTTTTTATCCTAGAGCTATAAATCTTGTAAGCGATTTTTTTATGATACCAAATGAAGGGATGAACAAGTCGTGCGCCTGATGGTAACAGGTAACAGTTGCAGAGCCGCTCGCAAAAATCTGAGGGGTAACTACCACTGCGCCCGTCACCCCGGGGCGTAACGGTACGTCCAATGATGACGACGCCAACTTTATTTTTTGGCCATTTTCTGTTATTTTTGTACACAGCCATATTCATTTTCTAATATTATTCTCCCCGAATTTTGTGAAAAAAGAAACAAAAGTGAAATAAAAAACTAAGTTCGTAAAAAATTAAGTTGGCGTAGTGTTAATTGCAGGTGTCGATAAGTTGACAAGTCCCCCGTGGCTGCAATTTTACCGGCGCCCTTACCCGGTAAGCTACCACAGACTCGAATTTTTTTTTCGAAATAACGTCCGTTCGAATTTTCATTACACCGAAAACCGAATCATAACGAAACCGTTGTTATGAAACTCTCAGGTTATGTTGGATGTTTATCGCAAAGATACGATTAGGTTCGGTTAAGTTAGGTTTAAAAGAAAAAAACATTTTCCTCTCAAAATTACTTTCGAGGTGATGAAAATTCGAGCAAACGTTTTTTCTGGAAAATGTCATTTCGTACTGCTGATAGGTAACCCTCTTACCCTTCAAAACCGGAACTCTGTAATACTCACATTACTGCTTGACAGCAGAAATAGGTAAGGCGGCAGTACTTCTCTGGACGAACTCTTTCACAAGGAGCTCTACTGCTACAATGTATTTCACCAAGACCCAAAAGGTATCGAAATTTTATAGCTTATTTTTATAGTTCGCTGTTCCAATTGAAAGGATTCCGATTTCCGGAACTGTTTTTGTAAAGGGCTTGCTGAAAACCAGCGCTGCAGGCTGAAATCTATGAGCCTGTAGCTAATAGCTGAGCAAATCCCGTTTGCGTGCGCCGCGACACGCATTTATTATTACATTTTTAATTTTTTTATTTTTATTTTTATTTTGTTTTAATCATTATAATTATGTTTTAACTTTTGTTGTAAGTGCTGTATTTTAGTTTAAAGTTAATAATATTGTATTTTAATTTTAAGATCATGTGTGTCTCGGTGCTTACGCAATAAAGTATTCTTATAACGTTTGTTAAGTTAATAATAATAATTACTTACATTTTATATTGAAGTTAATAGCTTATTCTTAAAATCATGTATATGTCTGCTTAGAAAAATCGTAACTGTACATAAGTAATCAATTAAAAGTTAATCTTAACAGTTAATACGTTTTAACAGTAAAATTTGAAAAGACGTTTATAGAGTTTCTTAATAAATGATGAAAACTGGTTGAATGATTCCGAAGTTTGTATGTAAACTAAAAACAAAACTGTTGGTATGCGAATTTTTTGGATATTCGGATATTTTTATATATTAGTTACCAATACCAATTTTGATTGAAATATCCGAATGTGGATAAGTGGAACTTATTTTTTATAAAACTTATTTTTCATATATATTTAGTTAATAAGTTCACTGGAAATTAAACTATTTTCTTACAAACTGACGTTGTTTATCTTTTAATTCTATGACGAGTCCCTCGTCAATTAATTATCCAAAAAAATTTAGATTTCAAATTCAGTCAGGCGAGACCACGGGATGTATAAAGAACTAGAAACAAATACACGGCAATAAATAGGAAAAATAGTTTTACTGCAAATATCTTAGGTATTATGCTTTCTCTCATTAAAATGTTATTATTAATAAGCTTATAAATATAACCATTACTATCAATTTCGAATAATAATTGATGATTTTTCATTCGTGGCTTCTTACAACTGGCTTCTGGAACTTGTTTTTTACTGTCGCATTTCCATTATTTATATCAAATGCGGCGGTGAGTGGTATTTTCCTTTAGATTTCACATTATTACCAAAACGTAAAACATATTGTTCTCACCTTCTTTACTAATGTCCCAAATAACAACCTTTGCTCCCAGTCTTGCCAACTTCAACGCCAACTGCCTCCCCACTCCGCCAGCACCCCCGGTCACCAGCACCACATCTCCCTTCAAACTCTTCATAGGCCTTATTGCATTAGGTACTAGAGTCCAGAATAAAGACTCCAAGATGTAATAGCAGGATAGAAGGAGGAATAGGACTGTGTCCTTTGCAATGTCGAATACTTTTGTCATTTGTGATGGCGTTTGAATCTTTGTGCCTTCAAGCATTTTTCAGGATCTGTAACAAAATTAAGAGTTTAAATCTTTTTAATATTGCTCAAAACGTGGTATTTTACGCACTACAAATCGTGCGGAAAGTTGGATTTCTCGCACTTTGGCTTTTTACTTTTCCAGTTTTTTTTTAATTTACTGTTGTTTTAAGTCTTAAACATAGAACTAAAGAGATTGTATATTTATTGCATATTTATGTGCTTTGTGACGTAAGTCATTTCGTCATTAAAACTTATATTTATTTACAAATACTATATAATGAACGTATCGAGTGGAGGTCTCTGCCTACCCCTGAATGGGTGACAGGCGAGATTTTTATGTATATATTTGTTTTATGTATTACAGATAAATTGTATCTCACTACCGTGCACGGGTTCCTAAAGAAGTTTAAACAAAAGTACCAGGACTTCATAATAAGAAAAGTGGTTACAGACCGATATTACAGAAAATAAACAAAAACAGCACGTTAGAACTACATTTCCATAGACTTTTAAATAATGGTTGCAGTGGTTGTATTTCATTATTTTAATTTACTAGCAGAAAATGAGTTTTTTTTAAATACTGTTTTGTTTTATTTTCAATGTAGTTTTTTCGCAAATGTAATAAAAAACGTCGTTTGATACACATGCGGATTTGTCATTTTCACTTGTCTCGATGCCTCGAGACTCGTGAATAATGACTAACTTTCCGCACTTGTATCAAAAATAACTATTTCGGCACTGTTTAATTTTGATAATGTTTAACTTATTATGACTTTGAAAATCGTCACCTAGGTGTCTCACGTATCACCTTCATACTATGTATTTTCGCAACAAAGCTGGACTGCAGTTTTCTAAATTGTAAAGTATAATTGTCCACGACACGAACTCTTCATTCTCTATCTATATCTATGCACATACGCACGCACGCACACACACCACGTTAATTCATTAGGTTTGTTTTCCTTTGCATATTAAGTTTTTGTACTTTGTTTATTTATTTTCATTTGTTTATTTACTGATATTAAAAATGTAACTTGGAAGAGCGGGGCCTCTGGTAATTTTTACTTACGAGTAGCCCCAACACCAAATACTGTAACCACTTAATCTATGATTTTTGTTTTATTTTGTTGATGTGTATACTACAGACGGTGAGTACTACTCTCCATAAAGTGGACCTCTATTTGTTAGTTTGTAAAATCAATTGAATGTCTGTAATTTTTGAGTTTTTATTAAATCAAAGGTGTTTGACCAACATGATATTAATTTCTTTTCATGAAATTACTCCACTAGTTTGTAATAATTATTTGTACAAAGATCGAACACTAAGAAAAAGTCCTTCAAACCGTGGCAGACGCTGTGCCAACTAAGCCACGGAACAAACTAGCGGACCTTACGAATTTTTCTATAGATAGATAAGATATGCTTGTTGCACATCTTTGTTTTTGGTTTTTGAAAGTTTTTTCACAAAGCGCCATCTGTGAAAAATCTATGAAAGCTTTTCTTCGCTCAGCCAGCTGACTATAGATGTTGCTTGAATAACTGTAACTTTTAAGTTTTTATTGAATGTCACGATGTTTCACCAATTATTATTGTTAAAATATTTTTCTAAAATAATTCTTCCGTTAAAATATATAATTAAGGGAATTCAGTACTATTCATTATTTCAATAGTTCCACATTTAACAGTCGTCGATACATGAGATTCGGTTATTGCAGAACGATTCATATGTACAATTAGTAATATACACTCATTCTCCGCTATTCCATTATGTATACCAAGTAACCACGAAAGTTAAAACACGATGTCTCCTACAAAAGAGTTCAAGGAATTGACATTCTAATTAGAAATCGCTTTATTATATGTTGCAATTATTTATATCTTCGTATGTAATCTAAATTATGCAGATGCAGAATTAGAACGAAGCGTTATGCTTCCATATTTATATGACGGTATTGGAGTAGAATTTCTTGTCTGCAAATTTGTTCATTTTCTCTGATGAAATATTCGTGTATTTGTACGAACGACTGTTACAAATGAAATTTGTGTAATACTAAGGCTGCTAACAGATTTTTTTAACGCAAATTTAAGCCCAATTTTCGGATTTCGAACTGTGACCTGAGATAATTGAGGCGAAAATTTCAAATGTCAAATTGCAATTTAGGATGAAATAAATAAAGGAACACAATTGTGATAAAAAAACAGAAAGACGGAGGGGAATTGACATTCGGCCTATGTGATATAGAACATTTTAAAAGATATTATAAAACAATAGTAGTAGTAGAATAATATTGGCATTGCTACCGACTCTCCCTAATTTCAAGTTCTCCCGACTTTTTCAACCTGTTTAGTTTTAACACGAATATTCGGGGGAAATAGCACAGATTTCCGATGGATTTGATATCAAAGAAAGAACATAGACTCGTTTTGAATTTCAATTCTTTGGATTAAGTGTTTGCCACTTTGTTGAATTGGTCATTCATTATTTTGTAATTGACATTAATTGAGTGAATCACTTCGCACAGTTAATAGTAATGGTAATAACGCCCACGTTATCATAGCCCCGCATTAGGGAAAACCCTGTGTCGCGGGTGCCATGGACACACACACAGACAACCACACATTACACCCACACTCGCGAGAGAAATAAATGCAGGCCATACAAATATTTCTCCCGGCATGGTAACCGTTCAACCTCGGAGGCAGTTAATAAGATACTGTATTTTCATTTTCGTTTTCACGGGTCTACCATCAGGCGAGGGCTTAGGCTATAATCCGCCACGCTGGCCCATTGCGAGTTGGGTACATCACACGTTTTCTGAGTTGGGTTGTGAACCTTTTTCGACGCGCATGTCTCATCACAATATTTTCCTTCATCGAAAAGCTTATGGTAATTTCAAATTAAATCTCGCATATCAATTTTGAGAAACACTCAGAAGTGCGAACTCGGTTTTGAACCCACAGCCCCTACCTGAAAGGTGGTAGGTCAAACTATTAGGCCACCATGGCTATTCGATGTACACGAAGCATTTTTTTTATAACATTAAATGACGGGACAAACAAGTCGAGCGTCTGATGTAAGCTAAGAACACGCCTATCCATAACAGTTGCAGTACCACTCAGAACTTTCGCAAACAGTGCCACTGCGCCCGTCACCCTGAGACATAAGTTGACAAGTCACATGTACCCGTAATTTCACCAACACCCCTTACTCTTCAAAACCGGAATGCAGTAAAGCTAATAGTACTGCTTGGCGGCGGAAATAAGTAAGGTGGCAGTACTTCCCTGGACGAACTCTTTCACTAGTGAAAGAGTTGCTACTAAATAAAATTTTACAAAAATCATCGCGGTATGAAAACTTTAAATTTACGCGCTCGCAACTTGTGCTCAGTTTCACAAGCTACCATTAGCCACGGCCAGTGCTAAGAATTGCACTTGCGCAAGCGTCTACAATTTTGCTCTACATGGATAATTATGTCAATAGAATGTCTAGTAGTGACCGTGAACCGGTTCTTGGTTACGCATAGAAATCATCCATTTCCCTTGTAATTATGATTTAGGTACCGAAAATTATCTGGCTTGTTATGGAGTGGGGGCTGCACATCTTTCGATTCGGCATTTTGTAAGTATCATTATCTCCGTACAGAATACTAAAAAAACCGACGACCTCAAAATTTCGTGGAATTATATCTATTTGCCAAGTTTTATTGAAATCGGTTACCGGAAAGTGCGCGAAACCGGATTCACCCCCTAGTTCGCCCTTTAGTACCCTTAGAAGCGGAATATTTTCTTTAAATGGAAACCACTGAGGGTACGATCAAAAATGAATCACCAAAATCGTTTCACAAGCCGGAGTTATCGCGTAGCATACATACACAAAAAATAATAAAATATATTCTTAGTACAGAGTACTAAAAAACCGACCTCAAAAGTACCTGGAATTACGTGTATTTGCTAAGTTTTATTGAAATATCCCCTAGTTCGCCACTATACAGGACTTGACACTGGAGATAATAATAATCGGTTCTCACTACTCAAAGTATATCGAGAGAAAAACGCCTTGAATTGAAGAAATAGCAAAATTAACCATTAAAATAATTGCTCCTAAATTAAAGTTAGGCGCTATTAACAAAAATGAATCTTCATGCGTGAACAGCCACCCTTCGTGATAGCAGAACAATGCAGATCTTTGTTAAAGAGTTCGTCCAGGGAAGTACAGTCTCTGTACAGTACTTGTACAGAGACTAAATTACAGTACATTGTCACTGTAATTTTTTTATTTATTTATTTATGGAACAATAAAAGACATCAGACACAAACAATATAGAAAACAAAAAACACTTAAAAATTATTAATACAGTAGTATGCCTACGTTATTAATTTTTAAGTTTCTGAGTCCAATTATAATTATATTAATAATTAATATGTTGAATACTTTGTATTTTTGTAGTTAATAATTGTAATATATTAGGATAAATAGATTCTCGTCAATTTGTTATAATCTTAAACTAGGCTGAACGTACGTAAATCTAAGCATTTTATAAGATCTCTTTACTATCAAAATTGTCTCCGTACCTTCCTACAAAATTTTTTTTCCATCCTCTAAGGCTAAAATAAACCGCGTTAATTTTACAAGTACTTTGGTTTTTATTCCAAATTAGAAAAATAAGTAGCAACTAACGCTCCATACTTAACAATATATAATAATTCATTATGACCTACGTATTTTTTGTGCAAAAAAGAATATTTTATTCTTTCATTAATTTATTGCAACGTAAAATTTCTAATTCGAAAAATGACTTATTCACATCTCTAGAAACATCATTACTGTAAAGAGTTACGTTCTGTAGTGCAGAAATCAATTGAAATATTGACTAAACAACTATTACTTATTCAATTGTCTATACAATAACCGACCGATAAATAAATACATAACCCTACTGTCCGTCGAAATATCGAATATTTGCTTCGCAAAAGACAAGAATATATAAACGAATGCTTATGTACTTTAGGTAAATAAGAACAACAA